CCATCTTCTTTTCCTATTATTTTCTCTTCATTCTATTATATCTCTTATTTTCCTTCTATTAGTTACAAAGCAAAATTTATATAAAAACATTTAAGCAACTATTTCTTTAGAAACACATAACAAAACCAAACACTCACAACGCACGCATACTCATCCCCTACTAATGCACATACGTATACTCTATCCCTACGAGTAACTATAGTATTTTCTTAAAAGACACAGAACAAAACCAAACACTCACAACGCGTGCATACTTATCCTCTACGAATACACATATGTATACTCTATCCCTACGAACACATTTGAAAGCATTTAAATCATACATCTAATCTTATATGCTTATGTTGTTAGATTCATAGTATCTAATCATGATCGGCCTATGTTGCTAGATTATTTATGATTAATAATTTTACAGTTAAAAACCATATTTACTATAAGTATGTCATTATTATGGATAAGTTTATACTTGAAATCGTAACACCCTATAATTATCTTAAAGAAAAAAATTCATCTCCCGAAATCACACGATCCATTTATCTCTTTAGATTGTTTTACATTTAGAAAACAATGTTCACTGTAATTTAAATTTTCATATGTCACTTTGGGGGTTATATTTTCTAACTTTACCGTGACATTCAAATAATTATGAACTTATGAAAAATTAATAATGATATAGATTTTATCGTTGTATATAACTGCATAATAATTAAATTAGATCTATAATGCTAAAGTAAAATGGCAAAAGGACTAAATCAAATTATTTGGATAAAATCTAATAAGTTTGTAAAAAAATTAGTTCTTACTTTCTTACAAAAGATGTCTTTGTTAATTTATATGTAAGTATGTAATAACTTGCACCAATCTGAACCAACCAAAAAGGTGACTAACTTGGTTCTACAAATGAAACACATTTATTAATGATAATAGTTTAATAGGATTTGTTAAAAAAGCCACTAAACATTCAACTAAATAAGAAACACCTTACTTTTAAGTTAGACACGTTTTCTAAACAAACTAAATATAACTCTATACTGAAGAGATCATATATAGTTTTTTATAGGGATGTGTTAAATATTACTATTTTGAAAGCTAAAAAATAGTTTGGAAAAGTTATCTAAGCAATGCGATGAAGAAAATTTATAGAGAAATAGTGGTTTTCATGGTGGGTATCATCCTGTTGATATCCCGTCTATTAAAGTTTTTTAAATGAAATCTATCATATATGCCCACGCAACGCGTGTGCTACCTTTCTAGTTGATATAATAGCATTTAGTGTGTACTATGTGTTTCACAATTAAATTTTCTAAAATAATGTAAAACACATGCAAATGTTTTTTTTATTACAAATATATTGGTGTTACCTTTAAAGTTTAACTCTTAACATGTCTTTGTATTCTCCTATCAATAAAATTTTTAATCTCAAGTTCATATATTATAAAGGCCTATTTTCGAACAGAGAAGGATCTCCGGATGTCGACGGCAATAACACTGAAGGTAGCAAAGCAACGGCGGGCTACAGCAGCTGGTTGTTGCGCAGCCGTAGTCACAACCCAGTCTGTCGAGCAGCCTTGAAGACCGTTAATTTATTTCATATTATGTTTCTAACGAATATGACATAAAATTATTTTAAAATATAAATCTGACGATGTATAACATACATAATATAATATTTAAGTACAGATATGGTTAGGATGATTATTCGTAAAAAAATTTTGAGTTTGATTTTCTTAAAAATAAGAGTGTGAGGGAGCAGTACTCGTGAGAAAGATAAATTGATTTGTACGATAATTTTATAGAATTCTTGAAGCGTTGTAGCGCCGTAAAACGGACGGCAGTTTTTCTCATGGACAGTGAGCTCCACGGACGGGGGCGGTCGACGCATGCATCAGAACAACGCAAGTGTCTCCATCGTTGAGTTACTCCAAATTATTTTTACGGTTGAAACGGTCTCCGTCGTTGAGCTGGTTCTGCTCCTGAGCAGTGAAAAAAACCACCCGAAACAACTGTGTACCATGAGGCTTCTTTGACGGTCCATAAATGCTACGTCAGTGTCATATCAGGAAATGTCCAAAAAAAAAGTGTCATATCAGGAGGATTTTCTCACACCACAAAAAAAAAGAAAAAAAAAGAACACCAAAGATGATAAGATTGCTGGCCCAGACCTACTCTTCCGTCCCATACAAAACCAAAACCAATTTAGTATTGGATGTGATACATCCTAGTACAATAAATTTGGACATACTCTATCCAGATTCAATGTACTAGAATATGTCACATGTTACATTCAGTAGTAGATTCGTTTTTTTCGGGATGGAGGGAGTACCGAATTTACTCCTACTCAGCTCAGAGCCTCAGACCTACTACTAACACTTGTCATCATGTACTACTCCTACTCAGCGCAGTTGTGGGTTTCAGTGTCCAACTTTGACCGTCTGTTTTATTTTAAAAATTTCTATTATTACTATTTTCATTGTTATTTGATAATAAAATATAAAGAGTATTTATGTGTGACTTAATTTTTTTTAAAATTTCATAAATTTTTCAAATAAGACGGACGGTCAAACGTTAGACACGGAAACTTATGGCTGCACTGAAAATAGGACAGAGGGAGTATTATTTTAGAGTATATTTAAACTTATCATTAGACTTGTATCATAAAAATTATAAATGCTTAAAAAAAATTTCCGTACTATTACATCCTAAACATAAACACTAATCTATCATTCGTCATAACTTAAACCATCTAAAATTTATTATTGGTCAAAATTATAACAGGATTAATGAATATTAGCAAATGGATACTTGTGTAAAATTTAGTAGTAGGAACAGAGGGAATATTCAAAGCATATCTGCACCTGCATACTGCTATATAGTTTCTGTATACATATTTTTTTTAGTGAATGTGGATTTTGGTAGTACAAAGAGCACTTGGGACTTTTTGTTGAGCTTTTGAGTTTGCTTGGTTGACAAATGAATTTTGAGCCCATTATATCTAGTGTTGTTCATTGCATTAGATTTTTATAGAGTGTATTTTCAATTTTAAAAGAGTCAATTTTTGTGGATTTTGACCAACAATTTGTGAAATCAAAAGACACATCTAGTGTATAATGATTACAACTAATAGGTGCCATTGTTTTCGTTTCGTTCCACAAGTCCTTGCATGTATGGCTTATCTTGAATTTGAAAGCTTTTACGAAAATAAATCCAAGCAAAACAATTTTCCCATTGAACCTTAAAAACCAAAACCTACCACAGGAATTTTAAAAAAGCGCATGAAAAGCAAAATCCTGAATTTACAAGGCACTTCGGCCTTGTTTAGTTACAAACTTTTTCTTCAAACTTTCAACTTTTTCATCGCATCAAAACTTTCCTACACACATAAACTTCTAATTTTTTTATAACATCGTTTCAATTTCAACCAAACTTCCAATTTTAACATGAATTAAACACACCCAAGTACAGTTTGGAATTACTGAGCCCCAGCAAACAGTATTAGAGCTTTTCCATGCAGCCGCAGCAGTAGTAGTAGTATCAACTCGTTTACCAGAAGCCATCTACCACAAGTGGAAGAAGGGAGTCAGCGGCAGCAGCAAGCACATCAGGCGGTAGAAAACAAGAGGTAGGAGTAACTATAGAAAATTCTACCGCGTTTAGTAAAGGCAAATGAATCGTTTATTTGTCCCTGTCTGCTCCAATTGTCCCTGCCTTCCTGTCCTTTAGTACGGATATATCTAATTAAAGAAAGAGCATTTGTTTCACTCAGGACCCTGCTTAGATACCCTTATTGCATACTGACCCTCTTTACACGTAGTATATTCCAAAACGCTCTCTTCGTCAAAAAATAAAAATCAAATCCTAGCTTTCATAGTTAGGACTGTCTCTCTCTCTCTCTCTCTCTCTCTCTCTTTTAATGAGAAGTGTATATGGTGCTAGTAGCTACTGGACAAATAGAGTTACATAATACTACTAGGGTGTAAAAAAGAGCTTGAGGCTCACGGCAGCTTGAGCTCCAAACAAGCCAGAATACATATAAATTTTTATTTAATTAATTAGTGGATGAAATATGTCATTTATATGTATCCACATGATAAATTAACATGTGTTGACATCATCCTTTGTTTTAGCATGTTATTCTTGTTCTTCTCTTTTGTCAATGAGATTATCCAGTTTTTGCAAGAGATGTCCTTATCCTTGTTCTTGTGTTACACTGATTACAACTTACAAGGCCAGCTCAATAATCAAGCTCGAGCCGAACACGCGTGAAAGCTCAGAGGTTACGCATGCTCCGTTTGAGATTGCTCGAGTTTTTGTTGAGCTCGAGCCAACAGTGAAGCTCGCTTGAGATCGGCTTGTTCAAAGTATATAATTAATATTTTCAAAAACCCTTTTACTAAGGTACTATACAATCCTCAGTTTTAAATATAGTTACATTTTCTATGAATATAAACACAACTACATTTAGCGACAGAAGAAGAACGAAGAGATTTGTTAAAACTGGGGCGGAGCTAGAATAAAATAAAGGAGGGTTCCACTCGTTTGTTTTACTCTGGTTTGAATCAAATTTAGCTTGATACGGATGCCTAAATTTATACTGATGGGGTGTATATATGGTGAAAATAGATAAATTATAGGTAAAAAAATTTTTAATGGGTTCCTGGGCACCCCCTAGCTGTACTAGCTCGCCCAGTGAGTCTGTTGCGTAATAGTAATAATTGATTAATGGTGACACGAGAAGGACCGAATTGCAATTCAATTCTCCTTTAAACAAAAAAAAAAAGAGAAAGAAAAGAAGAGGCGAAAAGAAAAGAAAACTCGTGAAAGGAAAATTTTAGTCGTCAGTCGTCACCTCGCCGGAAGGGTACAAACGAAACCGCGCGAGAGCGAGACAGGAAAACCGAGGCATAGGCATAGGCATGGCCAGCCAGCCGCGTCGACGTATACGCGGAAGGAAGCATCGTCTCGTCAAGCTCCCCTCCGCGCGCGCGAGCGACGACCGGTCAGTCCGTCTCCTTCCTTCCCCACTCTTGCCTCCCCATTTTGGACTTGTGCTCTCCCTCGCCCCTGCTCCTACGCTGATGCAGTCAGTCATCACTGGTAGTCGCCGCACAACAACCGAGTGATCCATCCATCCATCCATCCATCCATCCATCCATCTATCCTTCCTCCTCCTATATATGGGCGAGCCAACCACGCTGCCTCCCAATCACCAACTGCCCAGCTCCATTCCTCACCCAACAAGCTCACCGCCTTCTCCTTCATCATCTTCCTCTATTCATCGCCGCCGCCGAGCTCAGCCGGTATGCACTAGTACAGCAGTAGCTCGTTGCTCCCTTCTTCTTTCTTCTTCTTCTTCTTCTTCTTCTTCTTCTTCTTCTTCTTCAACTCTCTGCATCAAGGTTCAAATTAGGCCTGCCGTTTTTACTTCCTCTCGATAATTGTTTCAAGGAAAACAAAATGTTTTCTTGGGATAGGCCACCAATGGTCTACCGTCTACCTGTTGACTCCCCATGAATAAAAATCGGTTTTTATATATATATTGATATCTAGTCAGTTCAACCAAATGGTTGCTATCTGCCAGTACAAATCTGATTCTGAGATGGATTTCGTTCCAACTTCCAAAGCTTATCTTATTTTTGGTCCATGATTTTGCAGAGCAGTTGGGAAGGGAACAACAAGTAGACGTCGTCTTCGTCTTCTTCAAGGAGAAGCCGATGACTCTGCGGCCACTCAACACAGAGAGAAGCTTCCTCCTCTCCTCCCCGAAGCCACACAGCCCCAGGGATGCCTGCTCGCCGCCGGTGAGGTCGCCCTCCTCCACCAGGCTCCTCGCCTGCAGGAAGCTCCCCTCCTCCTCCAAGCCCATGGCCACCGGCGCCGGCGTCCTCGAGAGGTCTCTCAGCTTCAAGAACTGGGAGCCCACTGCCGCCGAGGAGGCCGCCGTCGCCGCTCCGCCGCCGCACGATGAGGCGGCCAGCCGGTGCATCAACGGCGCGCGGCCGGGGATCCTGCTGCTGCAGCAGAGCCCCAAAGCCAAGCAGGGCGACGCCGCGACGTCGCCGGCGCAGGCCGCGCTGATCGAGTTCATCTCGCCGAAGCCGCGGTCGGAGCTGGACCAGGCGGCGACCAAGGTGCAGAAGCTGTTCAAGGGGCACCGCACCCGGCGGAACCTCGCCGACTGCGCCATTGTCGTGGAGGAGCTGTGGTGGAAGGCCTACGACTCCGCCTGCCTAAACATCAAGTCCATCTCCTTCTTCGACGAGGCCAAGCAGGAGACCGCGGCGTCCCGCTGGTCCAGGGCCGGCAAGCGCATCGCCAAGGTCGGCAAGGGCCTCTCCAAGAACGAGAAAGCCCAGAAGCTCGCGCTCCAGCACTGGCTCGAAGCTGTAAGCCCCTCTTCCTGGAATTATCGATCTCACCTCTTTGCTCTTGTTTGAAATCATGAAGAACTCATCACTAATCTGCTCAAAATCTTTTTTGCGGCTACTTCAGATCGACCCGCGCCACCGCTACGGCCACAACTTGCATCTGTACTACGACATCTGGTCTGCGAGCTCGAGCACTGAGCCATTCTTTTACTGGTAAGTAGTTAGGAGTAGTAGACATCTGAAACTAATGTTCAGTTCATCTGACAAAGGTTCACATTGGTTGTAGTCAGAGGTTAATGTTGTTTTCTTTGGGTTTTTCAGGCTGGATGTAGGAGCTGGGAGAGACATGCATCACCAAAAGTGCCCGAGAAGCAAGCTTTATTCACAGCTGATCATGTACCTTGGACCAGTACGTGCCTTCAGCATCCTTTTCCTTCTCTGAAGATCTCCGAATCTGAAACCTTTTGCAGTTGCCTGACAAATCTGAATATATTGTTTCTGTTTCAGAACGAGAGGGAAGCTTTTGAAGTTGTTGTGGAGGGTGGGAAGCTGATGTACAGGAAGAGTGGAGTTCTTGTGAACACCACTGAAGATTCCAAGTGGATATTTGTGTTGAGCACAACAAGATCATTGTATGTTGGACAGGTAATAATTGGAATGTAGTATCCGTTTTGTTTTATTTTGCGGGTTCTGCATAGCGCATTCTTGTGTTACGATGAATCGATTCTAACTGTGTTTAATTTAATCCTCTGTGCAGAAGAAGAAGGGTAAATTTCAGCACTCAAGTTTCCTAGCTGGGGCAGCTACAACGGCTGCTGGAAGATTGGTTGCCAAAGATGGTGTTCTTCAGGCGATATGGCCATACAGCGGTCACTACCTCCCAACAGAAGAGAACTTCAGAGAGTTCATCAGCTTCTTGGAGGAGAACAGTGTTGATCTTGCCGATGTCAAGGTAAATTCAGCACCAAACAACTTTTGCTTGTCTCAAAACAAAAGGTCTTCAGGGATGATATCTGATGAAACATTTCCAATGCGATTTTGCAGAGATGTTCGGTCGATGACGATGAATTCCCGTCATTCAAGAAGACAGAGGAGAAACCAGAGGAAGCTGAGAAGCCTACTGAACCCACACATGATGAGATCATGGACAGCTCACAAATTGAGCTGCCTGAGGTAGACATAGTGAAGGAAGCGGTTGTCGAAAACAGCGAGGACACCAAGGTGGCACCGATCATGGCCAGCCGCCCATCCTTCAAATGGGCAACCGCGAATGGTGCTCGCATTGGCTGTGTCCGGGACTACCCGGCTGATCTACAGAGCATGGCTCTTGAGCATGTCAATCTTTCACCAAGAGTGGTGCCCTCTCCTACTACAAACAGGCTGCCGATACCGTCTCCTCGGCCAAGCCCGAAGATCAGGCTGTCACCTAGGCTGCACTACATGGGTCTCCCGACGCCTACCGGTTGCAAGCTCCCGATCCCGAGCCCGGAGATCAGGAGGTCACCAAGGGATCAGTTCATGGGGTTTCAGACACCGTCAGTGTCTCTCACACTCCCAAAGCTTGGGAAGTGAATCAAGTGATCATGCCATGGCATTGTTCATGCAGCGGTCTCATGATATCAATACTGCTGTTATGGAAGCTATAACAGCAAAAATTTTTAGTTAGTTGTAGCTTAGATCAGAGATGACACCATTTTTGTCGTTTGTTTTGTTTGTTCATAAGTGTGCTGCCATTCTTTAGTATGTTCATCCTCTTTGACCTGAGGTGAATCCAGGGCACGGTGTAAACAACGAGCTGTATAGCCTGGATTCGCAAACTTTCAAGTACAGAATGTGACTGGATTTTTTTGAAATTAAAGAGATTATTTTGCTCAGATTCGTCTGTGAAGTAAATATTGTGTTCAAACTATGCATGCCAATATGCCATGATGCTGTATGAATGAGAGCGCCAGTTCGCCAATACTAACACAACAAATTTTCAGCATCTTTGCGTGAATATAAATTTTAGTCTCAAACTAACACAATGGGTTGCACTGAAGTTCAAGATGAGAAATTATGAATGAACTCATATAACAAAAAGGAGAAAAGGCCAATTCTTGCAGGTCAATTTCTATTGTGCCAGCTGAAAATCTTGGACGCGCAGGAGAAATGGACGCCAAGTTTGCAAGTTTCTTACCTTTTCCTTGCTTTCTTTTTCAGTAGTTGACCCTTTTACTTCTTGAATAGAAACACTGCAGCGAGGAGATGATGTTGAGCTGTATTTGACTTTTCCAAAGGGGGGATATCAAGATATACTTGAATATCATGAGGATTTTCAAGTATTAACTTGTTCTAGTTGCATTTGATCATTAGAGCATGATTGCATGATATTTCTGAAATTCCAATCCTGCGCCCCAATTCCAGGTATCTGCGTGCGTAAGATGCTGTTCAGTACTAGAATTTATCGTTTTCAAAAGTCCTGAAGCCTACTATTGATGACTGTGACCAAATAGGCTCCCAAATATATCTTTGTTGACTTTCTTTGTAGAGGAAAAACTTCAAGGGCCCTTTGAAATGGAGGATTGGCAAAGTATTTTTTGAGATTTAATTTTCTAAGGATTGTTTTTCCTATATGCTCCTTTGGTTCTTAAGAAAAGGTAGGAAATATTCATGTGATTGTATTCCTATGGTCCAATTCCATGTAAAAAAGAAGCAAGAGATCATATCTCTTTGGGAACTTTGTTTGTTCAATTTTTTTTTATCTTGGTTTCAATCAAAGGCTGCTCTTCAACTTCTCTATGTTTATGATCCCTGTAGAATTGAAAAAAAAAACACATACTACTTTCATTCTTGCGTTTTTTCTGTTCTTGTGTGTTTTTTCTATCGTGCGTACCAACGAGACTAAATTATTTTCCTTTTGAGAAACACAATAAATTGGCCTTAAATACGAGCATCCGTACCAAGTCTAAAACTTGAACCCTGATGGACAGATTCATCACATGAACCCAACGATTTAAAGCTACACTCATTTCGTCCAAGAAGGCTAAACTGTGTTCTTTTGAAGCTTTAATTTCCCTTATTTGGTTTGCAAATATGGGTGCGTTCAAAACAATTAGCTATGGCAACAGCTGCACTGCAGCTACAAGAGTCAGCAAGCAAAATTAGGCTAGGAGGGTTGCAGCGCTGCGGCTATGCAGCCAGCCCATCTGAACCGAACAGCCCACTAGGGTTGAACGCAAAAAGGATGCTTTTTTTTTACTGTATTTCAAATTTCCAAATTCATAGTATTTTCTTTTCTTTTTGTGAGAACATAGAATTCTCTGTTAGACGCGAGATTCAGACGCTTGTGCTGTTTGCTCCCTTTTGGAGGACCGAGATGAATGTTTGATCGTTGAATCGATTCAAATTGTTTGATGTGAATGCGCATGTACTCCGGTTGGTAGGTGCAGCTCTTTCCGATCGGTCAACCTGAACAAACATCTTACATGTCATATGATTGGACGATTATAACCTGGAATTATCTTTCTTCTCATCTGACCCCGTCTGTCCATGTGTTTACTTTACGAGAGATTTCCAAACGTACACGTCTTTGCTAACAAGCGATATAGTAGATGGTATTTCTATAATTAAACCAGCCAAAATATAATCTACTTTCGTCCCAAAATATAAAGAATTTTATGTTCGAATAAGGATATTAATAATGTAAGTAGAATTTGGTTGAGAAAAGAAAGTTAGCAGAAAATTTGAATGGTACTCCAGATTGTGATTGGTTAAGAGAATATGAGTGAATAAGTTATTATAGTTTGCAACAAATTTTAAATGCTATAAGTTATATTTTAAGACAAAGAAAGTAATAAAACAATGAATTGACTCGTTTACTGAATCGAGAAATTTTAGCAACGATATTCAAATGTTTTTTCCTCATAGAGAAAATGATTTGATTGTACACAGAGCATTAACATTACAGATAGATTTATATGAAGTACAGAATTAGAGGCCACTAACAAACAACTTGCATGGTACTCATTATCCTTAGGGACAGAGGAGGCCAGGTAAATCATTATCATAGAATCTGGAGTAGCATACAATATAATAAGTCAGCACAAATTTGTGCCACAGGGATACAAGTACAAGCGCTCCAGAGAGGAATGGTTTCATAAGATGCAATTGGGGGCCTTATTCTGTGGATGTTGACCCCCACTGTTACACAGTAAATAATAATGCGCAAGACAAGGTTTGAGACTAGTACTTGCAGTCAACATGTTTATGCTTGCGCATGCAGAAGGTAAACAAAATCCTACAGAACAGAAGTCTATAGTTGATACTACAATAGCATTAGAAAAATGACAATAGAAGGGCATGACCCTAAGAGGCACTTTGCGCTGCTTGCAAGTTCTGGGATGCATCTGTAGTCTGGAAGTAATCTTGCAATGCGAGAGTCTCAATTGATTTGTTCTTCAAGCTTTTGATAGCATCGATGGTAGCACGCGCCCCATCCACGGTAGTAATTATCGGGACCTTGTAGGCCAGGGCCAATCTGCGGAGCTGGAGGCCATCTTTGGAGTCAAGAGCATCACCTGAGCTAGTTATCACCATCACCTGTATCTGACCATTCTTAAGCATGTCCCTGGCATTTGGCCGCCCCTCATGTATTTTCAGAACTGGCTCCACTGGGATGCCCTCCAGCTGAAGTACTTTGGCTGTTCCAGATGTGGCAATGATGTTGAACCCAAGTTCCCTGAACCCTCGTCCGATTTCAGCAAGGTGGCGTTTCGTCAGGTCATTTAGACTAAGGAAGACAGTTCCATTTAATGGGAGCTTCTGTCCAGCGGCAATCTGAGCCTTTGCGAATGCACCAGAAAACTCATAGTCAATGCCCATCACCTCTCCGGTGCTGCGCATCTCTGGTCCCAGAAGAATGTCGCAGCCCTGGAATTTCTCAAATGGAAGAACTGCCTCCTTGACAGAAACATGCTTAGGAACAACTTCCTGAGTGTACCCAAGCTCTGGCAAGGTCACACCAGACATGACCAGAGATGCATATTTTGCCAATGGATGTCCAATTGCTTTCGAGACAAAAGGGACAGTGCGTGAGGCTCGGGGATTTGCCTCAAGAAGGAATACCTCACCAGAAGTAGTAATAGCATACTGGCAGTTCATGAGCCCACAGACGTTGAGACGCTTTGCCAGCTTTGTGGTCCATGAACGGATTATATCTAAACACTTTGCAGAGACTGTTCTAGTGGGAAGGGAACAGGCAGAATCACCAGAATGGATACCAGCCTGCTCAATATGCTCCATAATTCCACCAATCACAACATTACCAACTGAGTCAGCCAATGCATCAACATCAATTTCAATTGCATCAATTAGATATTTATCCACCAAGACAGGCCGCTCCGGATCTACTTGCACTGCAGTTGCGAGGTATTTAATAAGTTTCTCATCATTGTACACAATCTCCATAGCTCGGCCACCAAGAACATACGAAGGCCGGACAACAACAGGGTAACCAACTTCTGAGGCAATAGACAAGGCATCCGATTCACTTCTTGCAATCCCTCCTTTAGGCTGCTCAATTCCAAGCTCTTCAAGTATAGCATTAAATCTTTTTCTGTCCTCAGCAGCATCAATAGAATCTGGTGAGGTCCCCCATATCTTCACAAGTCCAGTGCCTGAGGCAGACACCAGCTTCTTGTCCTCCAGATACTGTTGTATAGGAAGCGCAAGCTTGAGAGGAGTTTGCCCTCCAAACTGCACAATTATACCATCTGGGCGTTCCAAATCAATAACATTGGTTACATCCTCAACCGTTAATGGCTCAAAGTACAAACGGTCACTGGTATCATAGTCAGTTGAAACTGTCTCTGGGTTGGAGTTCATCATTATAGTTTCATATCCAGCCTGATAAATCATTGCAAATAAGCAATTAACCCATCAGTATTAGATAACAAATATAGGAACTTTTAACAAAACATACGGTATTTGATGATATAGCTTGATAAGGCAGACTTGTTTATTTGAATCACAAAAATGTTAATAATTGTAAAAACCAAAAAGTGGAGACAAATGAAGCAGAAACAAACCTCTCGAAGGGCAAATGAAGCATGGCAACAACAATAATCAAACTCAATACCCTGGCCTATCCGATTGGGCCCGCCACCCAAAATCAACACCTTTTTCTTATTAGTTGGAACAGACTCACATTCATACTCATACGAGGAATACATGTAAGGTGTATTGGCTTCAAACTCAGCCGCACAAGTATCAACCCGCTTGTATGTTGGAGCAACTTCTAGTGCCAGGCGCCTTAATCTCACATCAGTTTCTGAAGAAGATGTCGCAAAGGCAATCTGCGTGTCACTAAAACCCCTCCGCTTCACTTGATAGAAGTCATCTTTTGACAGCTGATCTAGGCCCCTTGAAATAAGGAATTGCTCAACATCCACTAGCTCCTTGAGCTCAGTAAGGAACCATTTATCAATAAAGCTAATTTCATGGATATCCTGAATCCTCATGCCTTTCTTAAAAGCTGCATAAATAGCATGAATCCGATCTGGGTTAGGTACCCGTAAACTATATTTTAACTTTTCCCAGTCCCAGTCAAGTTCCTTGATGGGTGCACAACCCCATCCTGCAAAGCCAGTCTCCAATGAACGGACAGCCTTCTGGAAAGACTCCTGGAAGGTCCGTCCTAGAGCCATGGCCTCACCAACAGACTTCATCTGTGTGGTTAATACTGGCTCAGACCCAGGGAACTTTTCAAATGCAAACCGTGGAATCTGCATCGTAAATATATGGTAAGTCAGGAAAGAAGGTTAACAGCCCTGCATTAACTTACAGGTACAAATTCTGTATGATGAACAATGTGAAGAACATGTCTGAGTCATCAACTTTGAGTTTGTACTATAACCAACAAACATGCAGGTTTAGCACCATTATTGCTATACGGGCATGGGTAGTTTTGTGGGTACACATTGGCCCATCTATATCAACTAAAATGCAGTTTTTCTAGTTCATGTTGTGTATTTTTGTTCATATAATTGAACTAGAGTCGGTCAACAGAGTGATCTGTGTCCATCCCTAAGCATCATTGCGAGTAATTGCATCATTATTTGCTGGTAGAGCATATTCCAATTTGTGGATGTTTAAATGCATTAAAGTAGTTGATTACTATGCTGTGAAGTTTGGACAGCAGGATAGTATTTCTGAGAAGGTAGGTATCACATCTTACATGTACAGAATATGCACTTCATATAAATTCTCAATTTTTGCATTACAGACTGGATACCCAAGGGAGGTTGGAAGTACTACTGGAACAATTATCATTGTATAAGCAGCGCTCCAAGATATGTGGATAATGTAGCTCAATTGATTGTGATATTTTGGATCTTTATTTGACTAATATTTAGCAAAGTTTTACAGTTGCATGGGTAAGATGATAACAAAGCAATTGGGAGCACACCATGCAAAATGGATAAAAGCATATACCAAAACAAAGCTAGTCAGTACTGAGTTAAATAAACACTACTAGGTTAGTGACAGGTAAATGCTAGCACAGTAATGCACAGTTTCTTTGACCTACCAAACTATTAAATACAAAGATGGAATGAAGCACATCAGGAGTAATTGAAGTTATCATTTTAAGTGATACAAGTGTGCTTGCAAAATCAATAACCACCCATTGCCAAGCAAAGGGAAAGGCCTGCCAGGCCGAATTAGTTTGGTACTGTGGTCATGTCCGCATTGCAGACCCTAACTATTGCAAGCATTTTTAGCACAACTAAAGGCAAGATAGCTTCTAAAATAAGGATGAAAAATGCAACAATTGCACAGTGCACCAAATATCATTGCCCAAGAAATCTTAGAAACAGAGGGAAAAAGCAAACCTTAGTGACCACGTAGTCAATGGAAGGCTCAAAGCTAGCAGGAGTCTTCTTCGTAATATCATTTGGAATCTGGTCCAAAGTATAACCTACAGAGAGCTTTGCAGCCATCTTGGCAATCGGAAACCCTGTCGCCTTTGATGCAAGAGCTGATGACCTCGACACCCTGGGGTTCATCTCAATCACCATCACCTCCCCATCGGCAGGGTTCACCGCGAACTGCACATTGGAACCCCCACACTCCACGCCAATCTCCCGGATGATCGCCACGGAGTAGTCCCTGAGCCTCTGGTACTCCTTGTCGGTGAGCGTCTGCGCGGGCGCGACCGTGATGGAATCCCCCGTATGCACGCCCATTGGATCAATATTCTCAATTGAACAAATGATGACCACATTGTCAGCCATATCGCGCATCACCTCCAGCTCGTACTCCTTCCACCCGAGCAGCGACTTCTCCACAAGCACCTGCTGCGTGTGCGACGCCGCCAGCCCGGCACGGCAAATGTCCTCGAACTCGGCCCGATTGTACGCGATGCCTCCCCCGGTGCCACCAAGCGTGAAGGCCGGGCGAACAATGAGCGGGAACTCCCCGATGTCCTCGGCGATGGAGATGCACTCCTCGAGCGTGGTGCCGATGCCGGAGGGCGGCGTCTTGAGGCCGATGCGGTCCATGGCCTGCTTGAAGAGCTGGCGGTCCTCTGCGGCGCGGATGGCCGGGAGGGAGGCGCCGATGAGGCGGACGCCAAGGCGGTCGAGGGCGCCCGAGTCGGCGAGCGAGACGGCGAGGTTGAGAGCGGTCTGGCCGCCCATGGTTGGGAGCAGCGCGTCGGGGCGCTCGGCGGCGATGATGCGCTCGACGAGGGGCGGCGTCATGGGGCCGATGTAGGTGCGGTGGGCGAGGTCGGGGTCGGTCATGATGGTGGCCGGGTTGGAGTTGACGAGCACCACCTCGTAGCCCTCCTCGGCGAGCGCCTTGCACGCCTGCGTCCCGGAGTAGTCGAACTCGCACGCCTGCCCGATCACGATGGGGCCGGCGCCGAGGATCATGATCTTCCTCACCCCGGCCAGCCTCCCGCCCTCGGTCGGCGCCGCCGGGAAGCGCCGCACCGTGACGCCATCCTTGGCGGAGGCGGAGGCGCGGGCGATGGAGAGGGCGCCGCAGCGGCGGCGGCGGTGGTGGTGGCGGCGGGGGAAGGGGAGGAGGGAGGAGCGGTGGAGGAGGCGGTGGTGGGAGGGGGACGGGGAGGGGCGGAGCTGGGTCGGGGCGGAGGAGAGGGAGGTGGCCATAGCGGCGGCGGCGGCGGCGGCGGCGGCGGCGGGTGAGGAGGAGGAGTGGGGCGGAGGCGTGGTGGGTGGTGGGGAGGTAGGGTTTTTTGTGGAGATGAGAGTGGGGGGGTACCCGTGTTAAGGGTTTAACCCTTCTACTAATTTAATTTTTTTATTGTGAGCTTTGCTTACTTAAAATTGGACACCTATACGGTTTCTGGTGTCCACGTTTCATGTTCGAATTATAAACGCGCTCAAACTTAACGTTCTCCCTCCGTTTTATAATTTTCGTTTCATATTATAATTCGTTTTAATCTTTTATTTCGTTATAAATTCTTTTAGTTTAACTAAACTTATAAAAAATATAGTACTCCCTCCATCCCATAATATAAGTGATTTTGAGCTTTTGCTTACACTGTTTGACCACTCGTCTTATTCAAAAAATTTGTGCAAATATAAAAAACGAAAAGTTGTGGATAAAGTACTTTGGATAATAAAGTAAGTCAAAAAATAAATAAATAATAATTCTAAAATTTTTTGAATAAGACAAATGGTCAAAAAGTGCAAGCAAAAACTCAAAATCTCTTATATTATGATATGGAGGGAGTAATATTTTCAACGCAATATAAGCATATTATAGTAATATATTAAAAGTTAGTTTTAATAAAACAAATTTGGTGATGTAAATATTACTATTATTTTTATAAATTTGATTAAACTTTTAAAAAATTAAAACGACTTATAATATGAAACGGAGAGAGTAGGAGCATACTTCTATCATATTTGTTTTCGATGTCTGAAATTTAATTACTGAAACCGCCTTTTGTCGTGACCTTTTCTTTTATTTTGGGAAATTTGATCCCGGAGACACAAACTGGCTGTCTAATTTGACTTCGATACGGATTTGCAGGGTGTAAATCAGTGATTTAATAATAGCCCGGAACGTAATTTGGGATGTAACCTAGGTGTAACAGTATATAAGAGGATAATGTGTTTTTTTAGAACAGATAATGTGTGTTCACATCATCGGCTTAAACCATAGGAAGAAGAAGAGAGGGAAAAAGAAAAGGATGCGGACAAGTTAAAAACGAACAGAACAGACAAAACTTTTGTGTTTTATGTTCCCTGTAATAGCATAGAACTAGATAGATGATGACTAGACTGAGAATATCTTTTTTATACGATGCTAATAGCATCGCCTCAATGGGCTGATAATCAGTTTCATTGTCATGCTATCGGGGTGATGCAGGGTGTAATTAACGTAAATCATTTAATATCACCTGGTTATTGCGTCACTGCTTGCTTGGTGCCCCATCAGTGGCAGAGCCAGAGACGCCATCAAGCCCAAACGATTAATAACATTTTTGGATAATCGATTAATTTATATAGGTATTAACAGCTATCGATAATAGAGACGGTAGCTAACAAAATCCGGGTAGTCGTCCGAGTTGTTCGAGAGGTGCCCTCCATAGATTAATTTCCTGTTTAGCTTGGTTTTTTTTTTCTCTGCTCTTGGTTCAGATATCTCAACATAAGAGGCACAGTGAACCAAACAACAGGGCAGAACTAAAGCAAATTCAGTCACACTCGAGTGCAGGATAAAAGTTCAGGTACAATCTCTCTGATAACACAGTTCTACTCCTACGATTGATATACAAATTTAATCTATCTAACAATGATAAAGCATAAGGATGTGAATAATCTCAGTACTAATGCCGGTTTTTTGTGTCCATATAGATACACTTAATAATTGCATGAGGTCGATGTTTCTGATGACGATGAGTCACGATTTGTGGATGGTTTTGGTTTAAAGAAAAAAATGAGCACGCGATTGGCGCCAATCAACGGTGGACCCGGCGAGAGCTCATGCCATAAAGCAAAGCTTGACGGCCCAGATAAGATGGCCGCTGGTCCCTCTTATGGATAAGCCAAAACAATGTATGCAAGGGGCAACTTGGACCTAATCGTGATATTTCGTAGAGAAAAACTTGGCTCTAATAATGTCACACTCCAATTACCGAGCAAACAAGCCAATCAGGAGTTGACAGAAATGCAAGGCCTACCTTTGCTCATGACCCAATTGACAAGAGAGAAGAGTCCCCTACTTTTGTCTTGCCCTGTGGTATTTAATACTCCTTCTATTTTAAATTATTTATCGTCCTATGTCTTTAAAGTCAAATATATTTATATCTGACTGCAATTTAGAGATCCATATAATATAGCATTACAAGATTTATATTTTTAGATTCTCTATGAGAAATATTTGCATGTTGTTGAACTATACGGATCTCTCGAAATTGATTGTCAAAGTTATAAACGTTTAACTTATGACAAAGCTAAAACGATAAATAATTTGTGAAGGAGAAAGTATTGAATCTTTAAGTGGATAGGCTCACCACGACATGAATATGGTGTTGTCTATTGAGACGAACAAGTTGGATCACAACGTGGTTGGTGGGATGAGAAGGGAAAGGATATGGGTTGAAGGGAGAGATCGATGCAACGGGAGAGATGCCTCATACCCGCACTCCCCTCCTCCAACCTTGCTGCCACGTCCTCTCTTCCCCTCCTAGCCCAGCGCCGTGTTGAGGGCGGCTACCGGGTTGATGGCGGCGTCGACGGTGTTGGGGTTGGTAGTTGGGTTAATTGTGGCGTCGATGGCGTTTGTGTCCTAGTCGAGGGCATCTCCGTCGGCTGGGTTGATGGCGGCGTTGGCGGCGGCTAGTGGGTGGAGGAGGAGAGGTGAGAGCGTTGGGTGTAAGCGGCGAGGTGGTGGCTGCCTCACCTCTCTTGGTTAGTATACATTGGACACACTTTACACTGACATGTGGGGCCAGTGTGCTGACTCAACCAGTCAACAGAGTCAAAGATGCAATGCTGGACGAAACCGCCTCCTAAACCGCCCAAGGAGTCGATTTGGAACGGTTTTGTGAGTTGGAGGATGAGATATACCCAATTTTGCGGTTGAAGTATGCGATTCAACCATGCGCATGAGTTGAGGAAGGTAATGTAGAGTTATTCTGAAACATTTCTCATCGGAAATAAGTTCACTTTGTGACCCTCAAAAGTGATTGAAATCTAATCCGTGACCCTAAACCACAAAACTGGATATCTTGACCTCCAACTCTTAAAACCGGTACAATCTGACTCTCTTGATGGTTTTGGAGGGCGGTTTCGCTAACATGGCGCCTACATGATGATGTTGACTCAGTTTTCGGTCCATGTGGAGTTGACGTGGTGTTTGTGTTCTAGAATTAAAGAAATATGTGCTGGGCCCATTTGTCATTCGCACTAAAATAATGTGGGACCCACTGACATGTATGGCCCACATGTCATTCCTGTTTCCTTCTTCCTCTTCCTTTTTCTCCATTCTCTCTCTTTCTCTTTCTCCCATTTCTCTTCGTCTTGTCTGCAGGGAGAAAATCGGCGGCGGGCGCTCGAGGGTCCAAGAGGCCGCGGTGGCGAGCGGGAAGGGAGGCGGTGGCTCGGCGGCAGCAGCGGCGTGTGACCCACTGGGAGAATTTCTGCATTCCACAACCAAATTCCAATGAGAAACCAATTATGGCACAAGATATGGATTACCAATGAAAGCTACTTAAGGAGATTGAGCATCGCGTCGTTGATTCTAAGTACCTCGAGTCCAAGAATATGGAAATCAACTCTTCCAGGCTCACCGGCGACGCCCGCCATGAATCAACCTGCGAACACGCGAAATCTTCTCATTTCACGGCGTGCCGAAAATGGCAAGGCGCAGCACGAGCCATAGCGCCGTAACTCGAGCTTGGCCTCAGACTGGAGCGTCGTGAGCGCGCATGGGAAGCTACTGGACTCGAGGAATGCGGCGACCGCGGCCACCACAGTGGGCCTCGTCGTCGCGTCGGGGACGGCGGCAGCGGCGAGCCCTTGGAGGACGAATTGGTCATGCTCTTCTCCTTCCTCGAGTCCTTCATGGCTCCCTCTTCCGTCTACGCCGCTGCTGCCGCCGAGCCGCCGCCGGGTTGCTGCCTCCCCTCCCGCTCGCCGCCGCGGCCGCTTGGACCCTCGAGCGCCCGCCGCTGCCTGCAGACGAAGACGAAGAGAGATGGGAGAGAGAGAGAAGGGAGAGGAAGGGAGGAGGAAGAGGAAGAAGGAAACGGGAATGACATGTGGGCCCACATGTCAGTGGGTCCCACATTATATTGGTGTGAATGACAAATGGGTCCTGCACATATTTTTTTAAATTCTAGAACACATAAGCGTCACGTTAACTCCATGTGGACCGAAGACTGAGTCAACATCGCCACGTAGGCGCCATGTCAGTGAAACCGTCCTCCAAAACCGCCGAGAGAGTCAAATTGTACCGGTTTTAAGAGTTGGGGGGTCAATATATCCGGTTTTGTGGTTTAGGGCCACGGATTAGATTTTGATCACTTGTGAGGGTCACAAAGTGAACTTATTCCTTCTCTTCGTGTTGTTATAAATTTGGTCCAACCCTCACTGGGCTGGTCAGGGGCTTGGCCCAAATCTGGGTCCCCGCGGCAATCACTGCAACCTCAAGGATTTGACAACTACTTGGAAGTTGGAACTTGGAAGACCAGTCGCGCGTGGGTACGGTTGGGCTCTTGCCACGTCCTGCCACACACTGCCGCCCCGGTCCTATCGATCGAAGCGCGCGCGCGTTCCAAACTGCGACATAGGGTAGTACGCATGCCGCGAGCGATCGAGCGGTTGCAGCATGAATTGGGCAAACCAACCCATGCACGCACGTAGCCACGTACTCCAACGTGCGCCTCCGTCGATCGCCACCTTTCCCGGATCAAGTACGAGCCCACGCACGAACGCACGCACACCACTAGGACAGTCCACTCCCACTGCCCTTCTCCCCCTATATCGATCGCGCGCCAAGCCGCCCCCGCCCATGAACGCACGCGCAGACACACCTGCGGCGCTCTCTCTCTCTCTCTCTCTCTCTCTCTCTCGATACCAATGATGGCGACGACGACGGTAACGCACCCTGCCGCCGCCGCCGCGCTCAACCACGAGCGCCACCTCCTCCGCCGGCTCGCCGTCTCTTCTCCCACGATCCTCCACGCCGCGTGGGTCACGGCCCTCGTCGCCGTCTGCCTCGCGCTCTGCATCACCCACTCCCGCAAGCCGCTGCCCTCCTCCTCGTCGTCGTCCAAGGCTGCCAGGCGCGAGCGCGGCGCCTCGTCCTCGACACGGCGCCGTTCCGCGCCAGGGGATGAGGGCAGCAGTGGCGGCGTGGGAGGCTCCTCCGCCAAGGCCGCCGCCACCGCCGCCGCCGCCGCCGCCGCCACTGCCACGACGGCAGCCGAGGTGTCCCCGACGCCGAGCGACGTCGCTGCCAAGGCCAACGGCCGTGTCGGCGAGACTCAGGCGGCGGCGGCGGCGGCGGAGGGAGCGGCTGTCCCCGTCACGGTCATCGACGTCGGGACGCACGGCCCGATCGCGCCGGCGTTCCCGGCGCCCGACCCGCTCCCGCCGCGGCGGAGCCTGTCGGCGAAGCACATGCGCCTCGCGGAGCGGCTCGGGTCGCGGATATGGTCGACGCGGTGGGGGCGGGACGACCACGATGACGATGACGACGAGGACGCAGGCGGTGACCCGGCCGCCGCCGCCGACGAGGGAGGCACCACGCTGTGGACGAAGACGATCATCCTCGGCGAGCGTTGCCGCGTCGGGGACGACGAGGACGAGGACGGCGGCGGCGGCGCGGTGGTCCGGTGGAGGAGCTACCGGCCGAGGCAGCCGCGGTCGCTGCCGATGACGCGGAGCAACTCGTTCGCCGGCGTGGGTAGCCGTAGCCTGCAGCTGCAAGGCGGCGGCGGCGCATCCAGGCCACCACCTGCCGCCGACGTGCCCTTCCATCTAGGTCGGACAGCTAGCCTTCCTGCCAAGGATGAACTGTGACGTCGTCTCACGAAGTCACGAGGCTAGACTGCTATAGAGTTCTCAAATTAATGTTCTTCCATTTTGATTTCTTTTATATGTGACACCACCATGTTTCAGTGAAAATGTATGCAGTATGCGTAGTTGAAAACTTTGGCACAGTTGAAAAGGTAGAACTTCTATTTTATTTTCTAAATCCTATAAGTACATAATCTAAGCGAGAATCTAGATTATCCTTTCTTAATAAGCTTCGTGCATCTTTATAAATCTTACTAGATTATTTAGAGTAGGTGGGGATTCTGGATAAAAGCTACCAAAAATTTGAAAAAATAACCATTTTAGAAAACTTATATGAAGATTGAATCGTGGTAAAAAACTAATTTCATAAATGAATCTTTTGTCCAAGCGCTAATCCCGATAACACTGAGCTAAGCCTATAACATCTCAGCGCCATTAATATTGGTGCTGAGATTCTATTGAGGTGACGAGGATTTGCCAAATCAAGCTTAGCTTGGCGCTGAATCCTTCACAGGATAGAATTATGTCCATGCATTCATTTTTAGAAAACTCAGCGCGACTCAGCGGTGGAGGTAGCCCTATTCCGGCCCCCCTATATAGCTCCTTTGTTCGTTTTCTCTCATTATCCCCTATTTCTTTTTTCTTTTTATCTCTTTATCCACTATTATTTTCTCTTTTTTCTCCTATCTAGTTTCCTTTTTCGTTCTCTCTTTATCTGTAAATTTATTTGTTATGAATATAGAAAAATATGAAAGAAGTATATATATGGTAAATTTAGGAACTTAAATTATATAATATAATGTTTGCATTAATACTTATAAATCGACACCCTTATTTTTAGGATTTTTTTTGTTTTCTCTCATTATTTGTAAATTTATTTGTTTTCTAATTTGAAAAAAACGAAAGAAGTAATTTTTTTAAAAAAAAATATATGGCGTTTGTAAACTTCTTTCATTCTAAATTTTAAAAGTTTGAAAAAATATACTATAAGTCTTTTCCATATAAATATTAGGAGAGTGTTCTTTCCATGTGAATATTAGGATATTAAGAGAAAAGGTTAAAAGATTAATGTTTTTTCATACAAATATAAAGAGGGTATTGGGAAAGTACAGTTCTTTTCATATGAGAGTAAGAGAAAATAATAAAAAAAGAATTAACAGAGTAAAGTTCTTTCTAATTTAATGAGAAAAAAAATAATTAAGAGAGTTACGTTCTTTCGAATTTTCACGGGAGAGTAAAATAAACAAAATGAGAAAAAGAAGATTGAGATTGAGGAGAAAAAATAATAAGAAAAATAACTAGAGTGGGGAGAAAAAATAACTAAAATAAGTAGTATGGCGCTGAGCTCAGATGATTTGGCAAATTCTCGCCATATCGGGCATAATCTCATTGTCAATATTAGTGGCGTTAAGATGTTATAGGTCAGCACCATCAGGGTTGACGTTGAGCAAAATGTTCATTTTTGCAATTAGTTTTTACCACGATTTAATTTTCAAATAAATTTTCTGAAAGTGTCATTTTATCAATATTTCGGTAAACCTATAAGCCTCCAAACAAGACCTTTTACCAGCTGCTACACATAGAAGATATATGTAAAATGAGGTTAGCTATTAACGTATGATTAATTAAATATTAATTATTTTAAATTTAAAAATAAATTAATATGATCTTTAAAACAACTTTTATGTAGATTTTTTTTTAAGAAAACATACCTTTTAAGTGGTTTGGGAAGAAAGTTTTTCTCGCTGCTGCCGAATGCACGTACATGCTCTCCAGTCTCCAGACGCACATAATATTAATTGGGAAGTTTTCATCTTAATTTTCAATTAAAACAAATGATTGTGTTCTTACGTAAAATGTTCCAACCTCTCCTTACTATTCCCGCACACACTCTTTCCGAACTGCTAAACAATATTTTTTTAAAAGAAAATCCTATAAGAAAGTGGCTTTAAAAAATCGTAATAATCCAGTTTTTAAGTTTACTTAGCTCATGCTTAATTAATTATGCCTAATCTATCGTTCTGTTTTTTTTGGCAATTTAGTCCTTTTAGAAAACTTATTTCGAAACTAACCCTCACCAAAAAACTTCAACAAAAAAATAGGCCATGGACTCAGCACCAATCCGTTGGCGCAAAGGTCCAACGTCTCAGCGCCAAATAGTACGGCGCTAAAATTTGCCACGCTAGCAGAGTTGATTGTGGACGTGGCTGTTTGGCGCTGACCCCATGTATGTAATAAGTAGACATTGTGCTATTCTTTGTCATGATTTATTGATAGTGCAGCGGTTGAACCACTTGTTGGGTTGTCACCAGGTCCCAAGGTCACCAACAAGCCAAGGGACCGGCTTCACCACTACACTACACATCACTAGTTGATATCAAAATATACTTCACGTACTTAACAGGTATACGGGATCAGCGCCAATGCAGTGGATCCACGTGGTGCTGACCCGTTAGAGCTCAGTGCCAACGAGACTGGCGCTGAGCCCACAGCCTATTTTTGGTTGAAGTTTTTGGCGAGGGTTAGTTTCAAAATAAGTTTTCTAGAAGGATCAAATTGTCAAAAAAAAAACGGTCTATCACTCCGTGGGTTCCCAACCTTTGACACGAGAACACAGCCTACTTCGGTTGATAACTTGTTGAACAGTTATTTTCACCTAGTTCACTGACTTACCTGAATACCGGAACAACTGAGATTCACTTCTTGTTTGGTTGCTGCCCTGGCCTGGGGGCTCTCGCTCAGGCAGGTCGATCCAGCCACAGGCGCACAAAATCGGACGCCTGAGAGTTGCACCTGAGTCAGGCGAGTTTTCCAGGGCACGAAGCAAGCAGCCGTAATTAAACTCTCAGCAAGAGAAACCTGACTATATGTTCCAACACGATTTCAAAACAGATATGCGAGTAAGACACATACAGCATAAAGTTGTTTTCGTCGGAGTAAACAATAAGACGTGTGATAAACTAATGCAACACTCCACACTAGACAATGCATTGCTCTGCGGCCAAAATAACAGAGCACAAACTAAAACGCAACACTACACAAACACGTCAATAAATAATCACTTTAAGTTACTTACAATTTCCACACTTTCTCAGACAGCAATTGCATCGAAATGCACACACGACGCGTGACCCAGAGGGCAAATATCTTGACAACCTTGATACAGGATATGACATCTAAAAAAAGACTAACACACAGCATCTAAGAGCACAATAGGAGCAAACAAGAGCATGTACAGGGGGCTTAAAACGTTGTTTAAGGTCATAGCCGCTGGAGTACCAGGCCGACCCTTTATTTAGCCAGCCAGCCTCCAGTACTTCGGGTCAGCAGGCTGCCATAACACTCCAGCATTCTCATCCATCTCAGGATAGGGGGAGCAAGTCGAAAATATCTCCTCACTTCCCCTTTTATACCCAAGAGATCAAACGATTACGCATAAGATCCCAACAATATTAGTAGTGGATCCTATCGTTGGCATCAAAATTTAGGCCTTGGATGCCTCTTATAGTGGACTCATAGTTCTTGTTAGCTGCATGCCTGCCAGATGACGAATGCCTGGGGTCAGAATAGTCGAGCATCTGTGAGCTCCTACGTGGAGGAGCACTTCTTTGGAATGTCCCAGGACTTGCATCTGGTGTGCGGCTACGTGATGGTTCAGCTTCGCTGCTTTGCAGTTCTCGGCTACTAGAAACAACAGGTCGCCTTAAGGATCCGCTTGACCGACCCAACATTGTCGAACTAGAGAACTACAAGTCAATTGAGGATCACATATCACATCGCAAAAAGATAACCAAAATATCTTCAGGCTTTGATGGAGCATTTATCACAATAACAAGTCAAACCTAAACAAAACTAAAAAAAACTCACCAAAGCATCTTTTGAAGTGGACATGTCTGGCCTAACCGGGGACTTCTGTTTTGATAAGCTGCCAGCATTTATTCCTGTAGGTGGAACCTGACGTCGTGTAGGATCATCTGACCACCCGCTTCTTCTTCCCTCTTCAGTGGCTAAATCAATTCAGGACATAAACCATATAGAATTAATGAATGCAGATTTCACAAAACATATGAGCTAGGTCATAGAAACAAAATAATCTTTTTCAAAACTCGCCTCATCAAGTGTGCCATGATTTCAGTTACAAGCAAGAGTAGGTTATGCAATTATCTGATAGGCAGGAAACAGAAAGGAACATTTTTTACATAACTTACTGTTTTTACTGTTACCATTTTTTAATCGTAATTTATGTTGCACCACCTTTTGCTCTAATCACCTGATATATGTGTTGTGATTTGATGATAAATTGTAAAGAAACAAGCAGCTATCACCACATCTCCTCTACTATTATAAAAATTGAAGATGTTTCCGCGGTCCATTATCCGTGTTTGAGTTGGTTTTAATTTTATGTTTTGGTTTTAATCTATATCTCCTCTACTATTATAAAAATTGTAGATGTTTCCGCGGGACGTAATCCGTGTTTGAGTCGGTTATAAAAATTGTAGATGTTTCCGCGGTCCGTCATCCGTGTTTTTGCCGGTATTTTGGTACGTCATCCGTGTATGAGTCGGTTTTTAAGTTCGCTTGCTTTTGGAAATACATATCCATATTTGAGTCGGTTTTTAAGATTGTTCACTTTTGGTAATACAAAAGGAATCATATAGGAAATCTGTTTAAAAAAAACTCGCATGCTAATATGAGACGATAGAACTCCTAACTGCAGCTCATGATTTTCTAAAAAAAATATATCCAAGCGAACTCCCACAGTGAATTTCATCTTAACTAAACCATATAACAATAATAAGATTAAAATAGACTTCACCCGTTGCAACGCACATGCATTTTTTCTAGTCAATTACAATTTGTAAAATTGCATACCTGATAGCCTATTATTATTTGCTATTGGAGACATTCCAGAGCTTTGCCCTGCTGCTGCAGCCTGAAACAAAAGAGCATGGACATTCATCAGATACCCATCTGGGTATGCAACTGCAGGAAAGGAGTGCTTTGGCTTGCACTGACAATAGCACGTGGTGGAACACTGGTTATCTGTGACTGCTGGTACTTAAGAATGGTCCAGTCAAAAACGTAATCAAACTGAAATCCTACAGATAGAAGCAGCAATTTGTCAGAGGTATCCCAAAAAGAGCATTTCTTGAAACATTTTGTGCAGAAACCAACCCTCTCGAATGAAAAGGTCTCTGAACAATCTCTTCAGGTATTGATAGTCTGGCAAATCTTCAAAACGTAGTGAACGGCAGTAATGGAAGTAGGATTGAAACTCACAAGGGTATCCGCGACAGAGAGCCTGCAGATGAAAAAGAAAATGCTGGTAAGAATATGTTGGTCCATAGCCATAATTAAATCTTCAGAGGGGAAGAATGACCTCAATTGATGTAGCAATCTTCCGTTCGCTAATTTTCTCGTACTTCTGTTTTTTGGTCCCAGCTTTTAGACCCTGCCATGGAAGACTGGTACCAAGAAGAGCAAATGTGTTGTTTAGAGCACAACAGACCATATAAGCAGATAATCAAATAAAGCTAACATAACTAACCTTCCTCTTAAGAAGTACATGAGTACATATCCAAGAGATTCAAGGTCATCCCTTCTGCTTTGTTCTGTTGAAAAAAAAATACCAAAGTTCATTTGTCAAACTAGATCTACCAGCAAGACAAAATAATTGAAGAAATGCATACAATTGTGCATTTAACATAGGCATGGGATCAAAATTCAAGTTGCACCAGACTTACCGATTCCAAGATGGGTGTTTACACTAGCATATCGAGCTGTCCCAGTCAAATTTTTGTTCTCTCTGCACTTCAGTAGACAATTGTCATATGGTTTCTTAAGACGGGTAGAAGTCTCACTCAGAAGAAGAATGGCACTTGGTAAGAAAAAACTTTCATCGATGACCAAATTTTATGAATAAACACAATATAGTTATAGTGACCAGTGAGGTGACAGTAGGCAATGCGAAGGCAATTTTAATAAAGTAATGCATAAGTGAAAAAAATGATAATTTGATGCAAACATAAAAGATTAATAAATATGAACCTCATAGATAGATGGATTACAATATATTACCTGTATGGAATGTGCTGGTGTGTTGAAGTGTCCCGGTATTTCTTTGCCAGTCCAAAATCAATCATGTATACCTACAACGGATAAGGGAGAAAATGTAACTACAGCCACCTAATGTTACAATTAAGACCTAGAACTATAAGCACAAAAACAGCACCTAAATCACTTACCTGGTTTGCCCTCTTTCCAAGGCCCATGAGAAAATTGTCTGGCTTAATATCTCGATGCAAGAAAGACTTTGAGTGTACAAATTCAACTCGATTTATCTAATAAAAATATGGAGAAATTAGAAACAATCAAATGCATTTAACCAGATAGGACTACTATGTAATAATAACACAAAGAGCAACAACACTTGGCCTTAATTTCATACTGTACCATTTGATCAGCAAGCATTAGAACAGTTTTTAGAGACAATTTTCTGTTGCAAAAGCTAAAGAGATCCTCAAGGCTTGGGCCCAATAAGTCCATAACCAAAACATTGTAATCACCCTCAACACCAAACCACTTGACATTTGGAATCCCAGCTGCAGGACAAAAACAGAATGCAGGTTATTATCTCCCAGGGAAAAAAAATGGAATGCAAAAGGAAAAAAAAAGTAAATAAAAGAAAGTGCATTACTTCCACCCTGAAGTATCCTGTACAGCTTTGACTCGTACAGCAATTGTGGATGCTTTGTTTTCACATTCTCCTGGACAAACGCAAAGAAAAAGAAATGCATATCAGTCCAAAGAGGGGCTTATCAACCATATAGGGCAAAGCCTGCAGTTGTTTAAATGGACAATCAGGAGACATTGACTGAGTGAGACATAATAACAAACATCATTCTCACACTGATAATGTGACATACATTTCAAAAAAAAAAAGATTGTAAATGACAGGGTTACAGTTAGAAGCGAAGTAAACAAATACGTATTTTTTGCTGATGGATGTAAACAGATGAAAAGGGTCCAGCTGCCACATCCCTTTAAAATACACTGTAAAATCAATTCACGGTTACTAATCTAAACTACTGAGAGTGAAAGAGACAGACGAGCTGGGTGAAAGAGACAGAAGAGCTTACACAGCCCAACCCATATCAAAATATTCCCAAGCCGTATGGCAGGCGACATTTGTTCCAGTGCTTATTGGCCTTTCTATTACACAAATTACCAGTCCAAATGTGCTAGGGTGAATTCATAGGTTATTTTGATTCAGAACAATTATCCATCACTTCCTCCCCAATCCACTAATTGACTACCCCGACGCCCCCCCCCCCCCCAAAAAAAAAGGGAAAGGAAAATTGTAGAATATGCGAAAACATGAGTATTATCGCATCAACTCACCAGCTTAATCGCGACCTCCTCGTTGGTCTGCACGTTAGTACCTGCAGGCGCAAATCCACACCCAACAGATTCAGCGACACCAGAAGAGAACACAATCCACCAAAAAAAAAACCAAAAAAACGGAAATCCCCCCACAAGGCGGGGAGCGGCGGCACGAACCGAGGTAGATCTCCCCGAACGAGCCGCTCCCGAGCTTCCGCCCGAGGCGGTACTTGTTGCCCACGCGCGGCTCCATCGACCCCCCCCCTCCTCTTCGCCGGTCGCCGGCGCGCGCTCTCTCACCCCACCACCGCCGGTGAACCGCAGGGGCCTAGGCCGCGTCGGGCGGGCGCATCCGGCGAATCGCGTGGGGGATTGGTGGTGGGGAGGGGGGGAGCTAGGGTTTGAGAGAGGGGGGGATCGGAGGGGCGGAGTGTGTTTTGGATTGGGGATTTTTTTTTCCTTTTTCCTTTCTTTTTTTTTTCCTCCTTGTGGTGCGGCGGTGGCGCTTTGTTTTCGGCGAGCGCGACCCACCCCCCCCCCCCCCCCCCGCTCGGATTAAAAGCGGGAATTGATGGGAAGTGGAGGGGCCAGAGTGGAAAAGTAACAATTAACGTTGCACCTCGTCGCAGTTGATCAGGAGTAGCTGTTTCGGCCTCCGCGGTTTGCATTTTAAGGGAGCCCGGTTTGTATATTGTTTAATTTTGATAGCTTATCGCTTCATGATTTCACAAACTTATGCGGATTCTATAGTTTTGAAAACAAAAATGGATTTGGAATTTCTTAAAGAAACTTGTAAAAAAAATAGTTTTGTGCCGAGATATCCTCGTGCTAAAATATACGTCACCCCATAATCACCTCCGAACTAACTCCTAAACTAGATAGGTTGGGCTAGTGTATGTCAACTATAAATTAATATCAATAACTTTTATCCGATCTTAAGGTAAAAAAGAAAACATTTCATACTAGCGTTGTGTTTCTTGGAAATATAAATATGATGCCTAGGAATACACCGAGGTGGAGAGGGTAATTCGGTGCCATTCCAAAATTATTTTATAAAGCATGACAAATACTAATGACCGGTAATGCTTGGTCGAATATCTCAAGACCTCTAAACCCAATTTCTCCTCCCAATTTTGATATAAAGCCTTTGTCATATGCAAGCCAATGAACTTTCTTCTTTCAAATTCATTATCCCATCAGAAATTCCTTAACATTTGCTTAAGATCATCACAAATACGAGAATTTGAACATGATCATAGCATAGGTGGGGTGGGGAGGCTATGCAAAACCAACTTAACAAGAACCTCTCCCCATTTGACAGATATTTCTCTGAGGCACTGATCAGTAATTGACTCTCTTGCTGAATCTTTCTTTTATGCTTTTGAATTTTCCCTTGATCATTCTTCCTTCTAGGACTAGCAGCGTAAGATACTTTTCCTCAAAATTCTGGGTTTAGGTTTCCCAATAGCTGCCGATCGCTGCGATTGGACTAAAGGGAGACTATCATCAGTGAACAGGAGATGAAAAATACTGATACAAAACTAAAAAGATTAACCCCCACTTTATCAAATTCCAATGCAATTATTCCTCTATTTATCTATTCCCAATATATTTATCTTTTACTTTCACAAATTCTGATATATAAGGATCGCTAGAAACTAGTAATAAAATGGGCTAAAAATGATTTTATTATAAAATAAAGGAAGTAATAAACATGTCATCCACAATCAATGTAAAGATCAAGATGTAAGGGGAAATGGCCCCATGTCTAGGACCACGAGTGGGAGAGGAGTCGTCCAACAACTGCCCATTGAGACGAATTGAGTACTTTACCATTTTTATACATTCCATAACCTAATTAATCAGTCCACTTTCTTTGAAAACTGAGTTTTTTCATGATCCGAGCCTTTTGGGAAATATATTGAGCATTTGTTGACTTGTTCAATTTTTATTATCTGAATCCTTTAAAGAAAAATTATTCTTCACATCGACTTAACTTATTCAAGTTTTTCACATGGACTGAACTTATTCAAGCGCAAGAACTGAGATCGATGGATGAAAAAACATGATACATGAATCGAAGCGATCCACGGATAACTTGTGTTGTGGTTAGCCGGTGTGGAGATTATAAGTACCAAATACCCACACGACCTGATACCTGACTGGTATTAGGAGGTGGACCATAACTAAGATAATTATAATTGTAGAAAACTAAGTCACTAGAGTTTCTTTACCAGTTAAGGTAGTGCCCTAAGCCCCGACTAGGTCTTTCCTCTTGAAGTACTAAAGGTAACTGATGTCGAATCCGGCTAGGTTTCCTACCTGTACCTTTGCCCCTCAACCTATAAAGGAGGGCGAGGAGCCTACAAGGGTATAAGTCACAAACAATATCGTTAAATCAATACAACTCTAGAGGATACAATCCTCAAACTAAAATAGGGAACTACCTCTCATCAAGAGGACTTGAACTTATCTAAATCTTTATCTCCGCATCCATCCAATTTAGACCTCATACACTACCCCTTTTATTATTGTCGATACAAAACATTGATAGCCGGCTAATCTCAACTAATCTCTAATGAGCAGATGAATGTATCAACAAACATTTCCAGCTGTCTATTCGAAAGATTAGAACGTTTTGCGCAGATAATGACCATCTCAACTAGTTGACGATATTTAGAGACACAAATGCATTTATGCACATAGTAGCACAACAGGACTAACTTCATTGGTGACAACTGACAATACATTACTTGTGCTGAAACTGAAGGATCAATGAATGCTATGTAATTAATTCCAATATAGACCATTATTATTTCCAGACATGTCCAGTACTGGTCTTTTTTTAAACCAGGATTTTATTTCAACTAGAAATATAGACATGTTCGATCATACAATTTTCCGATCTGAAGTGATTTTCAGAGAACTTACAAAGCTTTTTCTGTTAGGGTAAGCAAGATGCGGTTTTGACAAGCACACATTGAATGAACACTTCTAGGCATTATAGCTTCCTTGGCTAGTTTGTCAGCCACTCTGTTAGGCTTTGCTCCTCTTTTGCTACTTTCTAAACGGTATTGAATCCCTGTAATAAGTTAGAAACATGCACAATGTCACATGAGTCAACCCACCAAGTATTAAGGGAAAATTCAACATAAAGGAATTCATTAACATTAGATATTTCTTCAAAATTATGGTTACCTTTCTTAGCTAACCACACTTTGAAACATGAGCAATTCCTTTGCCAATATCCATCTACCTCGCAGAAAGGGCAGTGTGGAGTCTTAAAAGGGGCATCTTTAGTTTGAGAGCCTGAACTATCTTGCTTACTCCCACTTGGCTTCTGAGAGTTGTTTGACTTGTTCTTGTTGCTGTTAGAGCGTTCTCCTTGATACATCTTTCTTTCGCCTTTATGGTTGGCATTAGCGAGGTTGGGTTGGTTTTTAAGCTTTTGTTTTTCAGCTCTATGATGCTCTTCCTATTCCACCGAGTATGAAATTAGCTCTGTATAATCCATTTTCTTTCTGAGTGTTCTAATTGATCTTAAATGGACCAAATTTAGAACCAAAAGAGCTCATGATGAAATGCACTAAGAAACCTTCATATAGATCCATATCAATAGATTTAAATTTATGTGCCATATGAGTCACCTCAAGGATGTGTTTTCTGATGCTTCCTTTGCTATTATAGTTGCTAGTAATCGTCTTGTTAATGATTGTACTAGCATAAATCTTATATGAGAATTTGAAATTCTCTTCAATATTAGCTAAGTATGTCTTTGCGTTGTTAGAATCAATGATTCCTCCAATAATTTCTTGAGCGATGTGGCTCTTAATGTACATCAAAGACATCATGTTGAACTTTCCCCAAGTAGCTAACTTTTCATTGTAAGTCCACTTGAGATGTTCATATTCTTCCTCAGCTCTATTGAGTTCCTCAGGAGGATCCTCTCTTAGGGCCAAGTGTGATGCCCCACAAATAATTAGAAGAAAAAGAGAATGAGGGAGAAAAAACAAAAGAGAAAAAGAAAAAGAGCAAAGCTGCAGCTGCAGCCCAGCCCAGAGAACAAGCTAGCTAGCAGCCCAACAGCAGCAGCAGGCCTTGGGCCTTGGCCGGCCCATGTGAGCAAGCAGCAGCAGCGCCGCAATGCAGCGAGCAGCAGCACAGTGCAGCGCGGCACTGTAGCTCTCGCTGGTCAAAATCTAACATGGCTAAATTCAAAACCGTATTGTTCTTCCATTCAGTGAAATTAGGGACTCTATGGTTTCGCTTATCGACGGAATAAGCGAAATGATATTTTTGCAAACGAAAAGTAATATGTAAATATAATTTATATATACGTGTTCTTAGCGATCTAAAAGAGAAAAAAAAAACCTAAATTCAACTCTAAATTTAAGGTTGAATATTCAAATTTTGGCTCATAAGCATAAGCCAAAACATGTTTTGAGACTGTAGATCCATCAAGGGAATTGACAATATTGTTCTTCCATTCTTAAGTTGTCCCATTGCTGAAAATAATGCATATAACTAATTTATGTTGGCTTAATCAATTACATATAAAATAAACTTAGGGTGTGTTCGCTACTGGAGGCCCAACTAGGAACAGTGCGGGCAGAAAACGGAGCGGTCCATTAGCGCGTGACTAATTAAGTATTAGTTTTTTTTTTCAAAAATGGATCAATATGATTTTTTAAGCAACTTTCGTATAGAAACTTTTTGCAAAAAAACACACCGTTTAGCAGTTTGAAAAGCGTGCGCGTGAAAAACGAGAGGAGAAAGTTGGGAACCAGCAGTGCCGAAACACACCCTTAGAATTTTCATTGTCAAAACACCGTTGGGCAGAAAATAACTAAGGAATAGAACAACAAATATAATTGACATAAAACTATAATTACTTTGGTCAAAAAATAATTTCATATCATTATTCCTTTGTAGCTAAACTTCTCTCATGGTTTCATTTAACTAGAAATAATTTACTTACTAATCAAAATAATTTTTAGCAGTTTAAATTAGCTAAGAGGGATATAACCAAAATTCTTGAAATATTAAACATTTAATCGGCGGGTTAAAATAAAAAAAATTCAATTCAGCCCATTACTTCTAAAAACTGGCCCAAAAACCGGGCCGGCCAGTTTAAGCGCGAGCCGAGTGCGGTGGCGAGCGTGGCCCAGTGATCTTCTGTGGCCCATCGGTGGTGGCAGCCCAATGCGGGGCTGATCTGATGGATGTCTCGGATTTGCTCCGCGCCGATGAAGTGACCAACGAGGTGCGTGAGAAATCCTAACCCTAATCACTCTCTTGATCCCCTCTCTCTCCTCCCATCCAAAGAACCGGCGAGCGAGCGGAACGACGACGATAGCGGCAACGGTGGTCCGGCGAGCAGTGCGCACGCTAGCGGAGTTGATTCCGCCGTGGTGCTCCATCTTCGTGGCTGGGGGCCACAGTTCAAGGGCGGCGCTGAGCTGTGTAGCTTAGGTGGCATCGACAGCCTGAAGAAGTGGGAGCGCACAAGCGACAGTCATGCACC